TATATGTGTGTGTGTATATTTATATATATAAACACGTATATATATGGGTATGTATAAACTATATATATATAAATACGTATGTGTGTGACGCCGAAGTTTGCACTCGCAATGCACAGATAGGAATTGTCATTCCAAGCCGCGTGCAGTTTATCAGTTTTTTGGAAGCTCAGAGTCATTGATGTATGTATTTTTATCGACGGCTGGCTGTATCATCAAATTCTCTTTGTTTAAGGGCGTCGACAACCCTTATCTAATCCACGCTTGCATGACGTAGCTGGAATGGGAAGTGTTGTATATATTCTTACTCACGGTTGACGTCCACATCCATGCAAGTGCCATGGATATCTATGCATAAAGGATGTCTCAGGTAGATTAGGTTTTAGGGCTTATCTCAGGCAGATTGAGTTTTAGGGTGTTATCTCGGTTAGGTTGGGCTTGAGGGTTTTATCTTAAGTAGATTGGGCGAGACACTTACAGAGATTGGACGAACGTACTTCTCTGCAGACAAGCGAAAGTAATGTTTGTGGAGGAGGATCTGAAGAATCTCGTTTCATATATATAATACCTCCCACCGACACCTGGTAAGATGGCGTGTGCTGCGTCTCCTATTGCCGACTGTGGTCAGAGAAAATCATACGTATACTCTAACCTCGTGTGTTGTACCGGTTAATTGTCCTACACTCTCCCATGGGGCCGAGAGAGTATCATTTGTTGGCGTCTAGATCCATTAAGCTGTGCCGCTCCTCCGCACTAATGACAACTGTGTGACTCATGGCTCGCAGTGGCCATGTACCTACCATCTGGACTATAGCATTGCACCCCGAGCGCAGCCATTGGGGCGTATGCGGGTCCTCGGAATAGATCAAGATCAGCGGACCGGAGAACGAGCCCATGACATACATGGTGGTCAGGAAGATGTAGAAAGGCCCATGAAATACTCCCGCATCCAGGTTAAAACGCATCATGGAGCGTAGCATAAACGTGCACACGGACAGCAGCATGGCCAGCATAAAAGCCCGGATGTTTGCCCACCAATCGTTGAGCTCCACTTCGACGTCACGAGTCTTGTTCGACAGCCACGCAAACGGTATCGTCACTAGGGACATCATAATGAATTCGGCTATCACTATAATATATCGATACCTCGAAGTATTGAAACTGTGGATGTAGTCCTGGTCCTTTGCGTTCTTCTCCGCGAAGATACCCACCCAGAATAATACTTATACCAAGCAAGACATACACCCCTAATATAATGGCATTGGGTGTGAAATATATGCGCCTGATGTCTTTGATAGCGTACATCACCGCCCCCGCCCCCGCACGGTTGTCCACAAACAACTTGTACAGCAAGTACTGGCGAGCTGTGATGGCCGCTAGGATCATACACCCTAGCAATGCTTTGACGTTATGCAGCCCCACCATTGCATACACAGCACCCAGGTTCCACCCGCTATCTTTTATTGTAGGAAAACAGGCAGTCACCGAATAACGCCCCCATGGACGATAGTGTGGCTAAAGTGCCAAAGACTGTATTTAAGGGCACGACTAGGGTTAGTTGAGTCGGGAAGTATCTGCCCCTTGTTTTGATGTGGTGGTGTTCCCTGTATCAGTGTATCTGCGATATAAGAGCGTGGCCACGCACAGATTATCAATGCCAAAGGAGGCTGTCAGAGCTATAAACACGTCGTAGTGCGGCCGGCACTGTCGCTCGTAGTTCGCATCTCGATGCAACGGCACAACCACCGGAGTGAGGAAGGGGACTGAGATAACCAGCATAAACAGGACTATAAACGGATATAGTCTCACTGCAAACACCGCTTGTTGTTTAGCGATACCTTTCTTTTCTTGTCTCTGGCTGGCATCGTTTGTCCTATCCATACCTCTTGCGAGCAAGTCACGATCCGACACAGCGCGTATTGCATAGCTGTTGGCTCGGCTGCTTCTGGTGCCTGTGTCTGTAGCTGCGACTGGATATCCAGGTAGCTGTGTGTTCTGATAAAAACTGCGGACTTCCAGATGGTAATTGTGCTTATGCGCACATGTGCGCGTAGGCTTGGAGATAACTGTGTGAGCAAGACTGGAGATCCAGGTAGCTGTGTGTTCTGATAAAAACTGCGGACTTCCAGATGGTAATTGTGCTTATGCGCACATGTGCGCGTAGGCTTGGAGATAACTGTGTGAGCAAGACTGGAAGTGCCATTACTACTATTATTGAAATTGTCTGGCTGACTCCGATACCTTTCTGATGATCGACTAACTCTTCCGCACTGTGAATGGTTTGATTGATTATCGTCATTTGAACATGTTGACTGAACATCGTCATTTGAGTGTGTTGATTGAACATTGTCATTTGAGTGTGTTGATTGAACATTGTCATTTGAGTGTGTTGATTAAACATTGTCCTTTGAATGCGTTGATTGACAACTCTCTCTAGAGTGTCGATTGAGAACCCTCTCCTAAATGAATTGATTCTGAACCCTGCGGAAATACTTCAACGCTCCCTCTCGCTAGATGCGCTTCAACGAATAGCTTACGGAATGGGTACTACCAATACTCAGTCTCTTCCTCATCTCACTAATCGATTCAGTAGTGCTGAGACTGCTCATACGCATGTTATTCGCACTATCTGTGTTCACTTCTCTCTCCCTATCTTTACTATTAGAGTGCCGAGTATTGTCCTCAAACCACAGATTCACTTCGCCTATGTACATCCGTATGAGTTTTGTATTCAACCTTTCTCTCCTCTTCACAAATACCGTCCCTGTGGTCCTCGCTTTTAGAGGTGTTGGTGTTTTCTATATTGATGTCTACAGAACCACAGCCAGCCTTTGTATTCGCTTGCATTCTCAAACTCAATTGAAGTAGAGATTGAATCGAAATTGAACCCCAAGAATTGACACGTAGTTTGCTGCACACTCCAGGGGCATATTAGCTGTGTTCACATACTGCATCGTTAAGCTTAACCGACAATTAATCTGCAATTGATTCCGTTCTGTGTACTTCAAACACACTGCTACAGTGGAAGTGAACTTCACGGCATGCAACCCATGGCGCATATGAACACGAACTTTCGAAGTTGGCCAGACTCCACCGGAGCAATCCTTATTTTTAAACCTTAACATATACATAAGCCTAACCTCAATCCGTTAAGGTAAACGCAAACACTTTATTTATTTAATTTATATACTTTTGAAAAACGTTTATGAAGGTAAAAGGTATAAAAATCGATCTGCAGTGTGAATAAACAGATATTCTACAGTACACACTTTCGAATACTTTGCACCTTAAGACTCCAGATATGCACCTATACCGACATCCATAGGGCCATCCCAATAAAAACGTTGAATATAAACGCATCCCTATTCAAGGTTATATGGTACATACATATAAACGTAAACCGAATTGAAGGACTGTCCTGGTGTCCCGGGCACCCGCCTCCCGGCCACTCCCCAGTACTCCTCATCAGACTTTCCGGAGGCTCTCAGTCCTCAGACTCTTAGTCTCAGAGACTCAGACTCTCAGTCTACACTCAGTCTTCATGCGACAAGTCTGCAACAGTTTTATTTTTGAGAAGCGAGTCTGGAGCCTGGAGGACATAAATAGATAAATATGTACACACGGCTACACCCCTCCCCCCCCCCCCCCTTAAACCTACATACTCTCTTTCTGTGTAGGGGGGGGGGGGAGGTTCGGGGGAACAAAGGTCTGTGGTTCGTAAGTTTACCAGAAAAGGGCAGTGGGTGACTCTGGGTGTGACAGACTACATACATACTAAACTGTGTCATGAGTTCATGACCTCTACTAGAGAAGAAGCTAAAATATAGGGGATCGAACTAACTACCGAGGACGTTATTTCCATGCGGCTGTTCACATATGATATCCAACATGTCGTCACGTAGTGTGTTTGCGTATTCCCGTTGTGCATGTGTTCTCTTCGTTCTGTTGAGTTGATACGAGAATGTAAAAGACAGCCCTCACTGTGTCTTGAACTACACTGTACGGTATGTGAAAACTCGCACTATTTCAAACTAACGCTTCGAAATGCATCACGCTTCCACATATTCCAATTTGATATTATTCGACTAAATAGATACGGACGTTTTTAGTACAAGCCGGCTCATTACTTAGACTCTTAGTACATTAAACAGTTAAGCAGGAGTGGTGCATATCCGATACAGTCGGAATCGCACACACCACGCTGCGATAGACCATTCCCAATATTAAGCTTGTTCAGAGTGGTGGACGGCTTCGATCGTCGCATGGTTCTCATAAGCGATCCGCAAGGCTTGGCGAGCGTTGTACGCGGCCAGAGCATCGGTCTCCTAAGAAGAATACCAGGGTATAACCCAATGGGTTTGGACAGTACCAAGAAAATTGCGAATAAGTGATGAATTCAGTAGATACGAGAACGTCTTTCTTGATATGTGTGTGGTACTCTCGATGAGTGCTGCAGTTATTGGAGGTGAAGGGGTGTATATCTTGACACTTTATGGGCGCGAGTCTTGGTTGATCAGTATTCGTGCTAAGTTTCACTCCCCGGGCGATTATATGCTCAGCTGAGTGTCTAATTTAAGCAGTCCGGCAAATACAAGCACAGACAAGTCCAATGAACCCCAATAACAACAAATATAACGTGACAACGAACTAAAAAAACTGGGAACTACTGTAATATCCATCTATCTATATATATAT